TTTGCGTTTACATGTGAACAGAGATATATTTTTTAAACTGCACATGTGGATTGGGTTTTTTTTAAACGAAGACAAAAAATCTCAGTTTTCAAAAATACCCGTGGACATGTAGACATAGCTCAAGAGTAAATCAAAACCACCCAGCCTGCCCCAAATTAATGATGGTGATAATAATAGTGATGATGATAACAGTACATATATGCAAATTTCATGTAGTTCATCAGCTGATATCCATGATCGAATAGTTAAAAGAAACATTCAAGCCAAGGATGGAGTAAAGAAAGCATTCAACAAGCGAACCAAGATTAAGGTGAGTTTTATAGGCTTACAGAAAATAATACAGACTCTCCGCAGTTGTAAGGATGCTTTAAAATTAAATCATTTTCCCCCCAGAAACACTTCACTGATGACAGTTTCAAAGTGTTCACAGTGAGCTCCAGAGAGTTCCTAAAAGGGAAGCATCTAAGTCCAAAAGAAACTGGTAGGTGAAGTCTTGATGCACATGATGTTTTAGTTTGCTCTGACTGAAAGAAAAAACGTTTAGTTTGAATTAAAATATGTAATGTCAAACTGTGGCACTGAAATTTCTTCTTAACAGAAATAACCAAACTTCAGAGATTTTTGCAAGTTCTCAATGACTGTCACTCAGAGACAGTAAACTATGTGAGTGGAGCTTATGGGATTCTTGCTTTGATTCAAGGAGCCAACTCCAGAGGAGTGGTAAGGTCAAGTAAAAGATATACAACAACATTCTCTTACATGTTGGGATTTCTCAATTGTCTTTGTGTTTCTTATTTAGTTTTAAAAAAAAATAATTTATGGGTTATTACTTATCTCATGCATTTTTGCTGTTATATTTAGCCTCTCAGGTTCTTATTACAGAAAAGTGATTTTTAAAACCAACTGAATTCAAAAACCTATAAGAAACGACAAGTAGTTTTTATGGTTTTATTACTTCAAATATTTTTCAGGATAGTAAAAAAGGCGAGGTGTTTGGAGAACTTGAGAGAATCATGAACCTCCAACTTGAAAATGTCCGAAAAGAAATGGAAGAGACCATAATGGCTTTTGAAAAATGTCTTAATGATGGCGTTGAGAAATCCAAAGGTTCATATGGAGAAAAACTCAAGAACTTCTTGTATCGTGTATGTATTTTAAATATAGTTACAAAAAATTTACAGATTTAACAGTAATATGTATTTAAATAATTTTGTTTTCTTTTTTGTTTTAGGGAAAGAAGGGTGGTGCT